AATGTGTGTCCACCATGCTTAGCTAGAAGCAGCTATTTCACTGGCAGCCTTGGTCTAGTTGCAACCAAGAGCTCAGGTTCCTGTGCCCCTAATAGAACATGGCATGTGGAACAGCTTTGTTTTGTTATGGCTACACAAGCAGGCTCAAGGTCCCTGCCGTTGTCTTTGATGCCCTGTTTTAGTTAAAAATTTAATGAAGCGCTGCGTGTGTGTTGTGTGTGTGTTTGCGTGCATGCGTGTGCATGTGTGATGTGGCCCTTCCTACATAATTTAGTGTTCTCTCTTTGCATTAGTGTATTAGCACATTGTCACTTTTAACCTTTTACCCACTGAGCTTGGCATTTAAAATGCTATTAAACTCAATAATGTTTCCTATAAACAGCCTTAGAGGAATGAGAAATAATTGGAGTGACATTTTTTAATAGGCTCCTGTTTCTCAGCCCTCTGTGCGGAGGGAACTCAACCAGCGCTTGCCGAGGGGCTTGTTAGTGGTTTCATCTCTGGTCTGAGGTCGGTAGAAGGTCATGGAGTGTAGATTTGGGGTGCCAAAGGATCTTTTAAGGCAAAGAGAGTGTTTTTTATCCTGAAGAAGTAGGATTGCTCTTTTTGACTAGTGCTTTCTGCTTTTTTAACTAATGGACTTGGAGAGTCCAAGAGCCGATCACTCCTTCCTTTTTCAGAGGACTGCAGAAAAGCCTACAGCCAAATTTCTGGCCACCTTTAGCCAAGGAGCAGGACTTCCTGGAATGCATTTTTGTGGATCAGCCTCATTCCTTGCTCCTTTCCTTTGCCTTTAATATGTGTGTTTTTTTGTCCTTTTCTGTTCCATTTTATGTTACCATTCTGTTTTATGAGCAGTTTTTTGTGTCTTCTAGGTTTTTCTTTTTGCGACACCTTTTTTAAAAAATCAAGTTGAATGTTGCCTTTCCTGCTGGTAGAGTTGTGAGGTCTCTGGAGGCAACTTTACCTCTCTATGCCCCAAATTCAGCGTTTGCATCTATAAATCAGGTAAACTGACACCATCTTGCTGAAATAGGGCAAGGTGGGAGCAAGTGTGGCTGTTTACAAAGAAAGACACCTGTTTTAGAACAGTTTTTATTACTTTAATGAAGGCCTTAGGTCCTGTTCTATCAGAGTCGTGTTCAGAAAACATGTTAAGCATTCATCTGTGGTCGCTTAGTATCATAGGTGCTTACAGCATGAGTTCATGAAACAGGTATTTATGAGATACCCACTAGGTGCTCAGCTCTGGGGCAGACTTGGAGAGAAGATGTCTACAGAAGAATAAACTCAGGTCGAGGTCAGGCCTGTGGTGAGGTAGCTTGAGCATGACACCGGCTCTCACTGTGGTCACTTACACATGTTTGCTGAGAACTGTTTGAGGCTGTGGATCGAAGATAATTGACGCAGGTAAGACCCCCACTTTCTTAGTGCTTACATTCCCACGATGGAAGAAACAGTTTAGCTGTATAAACCTGTTAGCGTTCTATACTTAAAATGGGTGAATTTTGTGGCATATACATTTTACATTAATCGAGCTGTCAAAAAAGAAAAATTTTGGTCTTCATGGTCCTGACATTCAGGTTCGCCCTAATACATTTTATTCTCGTTATTTGTGGATTTCATTTTTGTGAGCTCCCTTACTTGCTAATACGTATTTGCAACCCCCAGTCAATCCTCAGCTTTCCTGTCCTTCAGCTTTCATGGTCCTCATGGAGAAAACACGTGTGTTAGGTAAGCTCATCTCAGGCACGAGTTATTGTGTTGTTGGCCCTGAGTTCAGTGTTAACGAATCAAATAAGATGTCTTTAAGCAGAAACACACGTAAAACAAGGTTACGTATTAATCTGTCTATGAAAATGTGACCAGAGGCTTGTAGGAACCTAACCCTGTGTGTCTCCCAGGTGACAAGAATCCTCTGTATATGCAAGACTAGGGCTGGAGTATAGATAGAGCCCACCCATCTTTACATGTCTTAGCTTCCTTAAAAAAAGCTACAGTGATTCTCAGACTTGGCTGGATGCTGGGATGCTGTGGGGAGCTTGACAAAATGTGGATGACCAAATGGTCTGGTTTAATTGGCTGGGGTGTGGCCCTGGCCTAAGGACTTCAAAAGCTCCCTTGGGGATTCTCGAGGGCAGCTGAGTGGAACCCGAGTACTTCTCACATTGAAGAATAATGTGTCTTAGAAATGGAGGCACTCTGGGGCTTACTCAGTTGAGGGGAGGCTGCAGAACCATGGGTGGGTACCCTAGGGCCAGGACTGCGGGGACCACAGTGGAAGATGCTGGTATGGCAGTGATCACACGTCTCCATTCCCACCCCAATCCAGGGCCCAGGACAGGGGGTCCAGTTGGCCAGGAGAGGAAGGATGTGACCCACATACAGGCTGGGAAGGTGATTCCCTTAGGAAACCTTGGTGCTGTTAGGAAGGGGAGAGTAGGTACCCGACAGCTCGAAGAGGCCTACTCCACCCCCACAGTCTTAAAAGACAAGGGAGTTCCTGATGAAACCAAGTGGGAGGTCTGGGCCTGGGCAGGGAAGAGTGCTGGTAAATATTTCTCTTCTTGCCTGCCTTTCTCCTCTCTCCTCCCTTTCTCCCATTTCCTCTGGCTCCTCTGATCTTCAGTCTGAAGACAAGGCTCACTTCACAGGAGTCATGGCAGACAGCACAGAGGGTTAGGTGGTAGAGCCAAGAGTGACCCCTGTGAGCAGAGGTCAGAGGGGGAGAGCCACGTGGCTGGAGTGGTCAGGAGGGGCTTGTGGCAGGTCTGTATTCAGGCGGTTTGGCAGCTAGACAGGTTTCCCAGAAAAGGCCTCAGCGACAGAGGACCGCTCTGGCGATGCCACTGAGGGCAGCTCCCACTACAGCAGTATTTTTCAACCTTTTTTATCTGACGGCACACTTGAATGTGTCGTTAAACTTCCACGGCAAACTTCAATTATGTTGATTAAAAAAAAAAAGCAAAGAAAAAAGAATATGCTTACTGTGCTTTGATCTTCTTTTGAAAATAATTTGATTAATGATCTTTAAAATTTTTCGCCACACACCTGAGACCCCCCCCCCCCACAGCCCAGCAGTGTGCCACAGAGACCTTTCATGTTAGTCGCTGAGCACGTGCTGTTTTTGCCTCTGTGTGAGTGACTCAAGGAGGCACAGAAGGCTAAATGAGACAGCACAGCCCCTGCCATTAAGGAGGCAGGAGCTTGGAGAGAACTAGAACAAGATCTGAATGGGATAACACAGCAGAGCCGGTGTAGGGCGCTCCCAGCCGGAAGGCATGTACCTGTGAGCAGTTAGGGCCACATGGAGGCTTCTCGGAGGAGGTTGCAGTTGGGTGGGTTGTGAAGGGTGCGTGAGATTCTGATCGTTCGAACTGTGTGTGGGGAAGGGGACAGGAGTCACGGTACACAGCATGAGATGGGCTCACACCCCTAAGAGGAAGCAGCAAGGAGAACATTTTGGCTGAAACCAAGCACACCTGTTGTAAAGAAAATAGTCTGTGGGACTGGAAGGTAGGTCAGGAATGCTGAAAGGTCTTGCGGACCAAAGTATTAAGGTTGTAGGGTGGGGGTTGGGGAAGACCTGTCTATTTGAATAGGGCTCGGAGTTTACAAGAGCTTCTCATACCTAATCTCATTTGGGGCCTTCCCCACGAGTTTGACAGAACACATGGAAGGCAGCAGCCCAGGTTCAGGAGAAGCCTTGGAGGAAATGACACCCCCCTGTGGGGCACTGGGTCTTGTTGACTGTGGCAAGAAGTAGGGTTGTCTCTAGAGGGGAGGCCGAGGGCAGGAACCTTGTGCTGGCGCGTCCGAGTGACATGGGGAATCTGTGATGCGTCGTTCACTCATTCCCATGCTGCCTTTGCTGCGGTGTTTTTGTCCCTCTTCCCCAACGTGGCCACTCTCCAAACTTCTGCTTTGGGGGAGAACCAGGACATTCATCTCAATGAGGTGTCACCAGAGGCCTCTTGAGAAAGGCCTCTCTTCACCTGGCCTCATGTGCATCTCAGATCAGTGTGGCTGATGGTTCTTAGGCCTGGATGTACACTAGAGACTTCTGGGGAGCTTTCAACAATGCTGACATCAGGGACAGTGCTACCCGAGTCTGTGGTACCCAGACCAGCTAAGATCTTACAAGTAGCCCTGATACTATGGACAAGGAGACCGAGGCTCAGCGTAGAAGATTACTTGCTCATGGTCCCACGTCTAGGAAATGGCAGAGCCTGCATTTAAACTCGGGTAGTCAATTCAGAGTCCAAGCTTCACATCTCTATGTTTTGTAATTTCTCCCCAGCTGTCACAGTACTGATTTAGCCACGAATAACCAGGTGGCAACCACAGTTTCTGTCACAACACAACTAAGATTTTAAAGACAGCTTTTGAAGTAAACAGCAGTGTGGGATATCCTGTCTTGCCCCATGGTAGGGTAGATATGAAATCAGCAGCTGAAATTCTCTGTTTCTGAAGCCCAGGTGTAGACTTTCAGGGCTGCTGTCCAGTGTGCAGGCAAGCAGAGTGCCAGGGAAACCCCAGTTAGGTCCTGAGCTACATGCAGGCCCAGGATCTCATCTGTCAGTTTCCATCTTCCACAAAGCTGGGTACACAGAACTAAATCGGTAAATACCTGGGAGAGTGAGTGAATGAATGAGCCGAGGAAGGGAGGGCAGCCAGGTTTCTACCCGTCCCTTCTGAGCGCTCATCCTGCCAGGCTCGCCTCAAGATGAGGCTTACCTCATCTGCAGTGAGTCACCAGTCTAGATACCATTTGGGGCCCAGGGTCTTTTTGTTTGTTTGTTTTTAGTAGAAGTATTGGGAGGTATGTCAGTGAAGAAAAATGGGACAAAGCTCAGTGCTACCTCTGCATTAGGTAACGGCCTTCATCTGAGAGGCCTGCAGGCCTGGGGTGAAAAGGGTCTGAGGCTGGTCTCAGTCTCTGCTTGTGTCTTTTGATGTGGCTGAAAGTTAAACTGGAACCTTTTCCCTTTGTTTTACAGGTCACAGCCAAGACTGCCTTCTTATTTATTTTACCTCAGTATAACGTTAGTGTGCCTACAGCAGGTAAGAAATCACTGGTCTTCATCTCTCCCTGGCCCTGTTAACCCCGAAGGACTTGGAAAACTTCCTTTCACCCCTGTATACATAGGATCTTTTTATTTATTTTTTATATTTTATGTTTTATATTTTGAGACAGAATCTCACTCTGTCACCCTGGGTAGAGTGCAGTGGCATCATCATAGCTCACGGCAATCTCCAAGTCTTGGGCTTGAGCAATCCTCTTGGCTCTCAGCCTCCCTAGTAGTTGGGACTACAGTCACCCACCACAACAGCTGGCTAGTTTTTTCTGTTTTTAGTAGAGACAGGGTCTCACTCTTGCTCGGGCTGGTCATGAACTCGAGCTCAAGAAATCCACCTGCCTCAGCCTCCCGGAGTGCTAGGATTGTATATGATCTTTTTAGATATTTAAACTCAGCATCCAGTGTCGTTCCACTGTACAGAGAGCAGAGTGGTGCAGTGTAAATGGCTGGGGACTTTCCTCTGGCCTCCAGCTGCGGTATGGGAAGGAAACAGGTGCACCATGGGGTGCTTCATGCAGCTCCAAGTCCTCTCCCTAAAGCATCCCGTGTTGTCTTCTGCTGGAGATAGGACACAGGCATCATGACCATAGATCTGTTCTCAACAGTACAGCTTTCTTTTTAAAATTTGCAATGAGGAGAATGGGCAGGATGATGCATTTGATGGTGCCTGGTACCTGGAAACATGGCCAGGATATAGAGGCCAGACACTTTTGGGTCTGTGGTTTACTTCTGACCTTAACCCCGCAGAGTGCCACACTCTGCTGCCACAGGCTGGCCGGCAGTCACTGAGTATTTCTGAGACTTTACAGTGAGCCTGTGGGGCATCGTGCCTTTTATCCCAAAGTTCTCCCAAGCAGTTCCCAGTCCAGCTGAGGAGCTGCCACTCAAGGGGCAGCAGGGCCAGCAGGTAAATAGTGGGGCCGGACTGGGGAGAGAGTCCATATGATGCTCACCTCCAGCCTGTTGTTGTCACATAGGAAAGTAAACTCAGTTTGGCTAAGGGATTTTTTTTTCCCTCATAAGAATTAAAAAACAATAACAACAACAATAACAAAGAAACAACTCCTTTTAGGTAGAAATGCTCTGATTTTTAAATGTTGGCAACTAACAGAAATTTCACAAACGTGCAGATCAAGACTAGGTGGGCTAAGCCAAGACACCTATTGGCCAGGTCCAGCTTTCAGGCCATGGGTCTGCAACTTTGAGGTTCTCAGGATCAGATCCAGGCATCACTCCTTTCTCAGGGGCTAAGGACTGGTGCCCTTTTGATGAACAAAGGAAGGATTTCATTTGCTGAATCTGGTTCTTTCCTCTTCATTCTTTAGTAGAGAGGTTAGTTGCCTAGACTTTAGGGTGAGATTCATCTCTTTGGCTCCACCAACCCCTAGCTCAAGGGCTTTGAGGGTGAGTCCCTAAGCCTGTAGCCCATGGAGTGCACAAATCTTTTCTGGGTCCCCCTGTCACCTGCAGTCAGTGTAGCCAGGCTTTGGGAAGTCGTGCTTCTAGGACAGCCAATTTAATTTCTTTAATCTGAGAGTCAAACTGAGGGACATGGGCAAGATCTTGAGAAAGGAAACTCCAAGCCATGAAGGAAGAGAGTGGAGGGTGAGCCAGGGGACTTGTGGCCAGCACCAGCCATGAGGGAACAGGCAGAACTGCCTGCTCATCCAACTACACACCAGAGTTGGGGGCACCCCGGAGCATGTGGCTTAGTGCCGTGTAGTCCATTCTCAAGTTTGGGCTTGTTTACTTCTGTTTCTTGAAAATCTTAGTAACTGAGTCACCTCTAGACTCAGCTGTACTTAAGATTTAATGTTTTAATTTTTTTTTTTTTTAGTTTTTATAAAAATACTGGTATAGTATGCATAACATAAAATTGGCCATCTTATGTTGGACGCGGTGGCTCACACCTATAATCCTAGCACTTTGGGAGGCTGAGTTGGGTGGATTGCCTGAGCTCAGGAGTTCAAGACCAACCTGAACAAGAGCGAAACCCCATATCTACTAAAAATAGAAAAACCAGGTGGGTTTGGTGGTAGTGTTATGCCTGAAATTCTCTCAAGACTCCCCACAGACAGTCCGAGACACACTCCGATGTAAAAGGCAAAAGGTGAGTTTTATTCAGGCCCCGGGAAGCCCAGACTCTCCTGGCATGCAAGCCGAGGACGAGCCCTGAACTCGGGTGGAGCAAGTTTTTATGGGGTACAGAAAGCAAGAAGGGTAAGGTCCGTTACGAGTACACTCTTGATTGGTGGTTGGTGATTTCATTAGTAAAGGAGGATTTGCATTGGTAGCTGATGATTTCACTAGTAAAGGTAAATTTGGATTGGTACAGGTGAGGGGTGGGGAGTCCCTTAACCGGGGGCCAGAGTTGGTGCAGCCTGATTACCTGTATTTCAAGGTAATAGAAACTTATTGTTTATTATAGCAGCTGTTTGCCTAAGGTGACTCAGTTTATGGCTCAGTGGCTGTGCAACCTGGGGTGGGGGAGAGGCAGCAGGGAGTGGCCCTGCAGGTTTCACTGGCAGAGGTTGGGGCGGAAGGGCTAGGAATGGAACTTATGCGCTAAACAGCCAGGAATGGGGCTTGTGCTGTAAACAGCCAAGAATGGAGCTTGTGCTGTAAACAACAAAATGGAGCTAGTTTGGCTCTCACAGTAGGTGCCTGTAGTTCCATCTTCTTCGGAGGCTGAGACAGGAAGCTCTGTAGAGTCCAAAAGTTTGAGGTTGCTGTGAGCTATGATGATGCTGGGCACTCTACTGAGGGTGACAGAATGACTCTCTCATCTCAACAAAAAAGAAAAATTGGCTATCTTAGCCACTTTTAAGTGTATAGTTTAATGGCATTAAGTACATTCACATTGTTGTGCTGTCATCGCCACCATTCGTGTCCTGGACTCTTTCATCTCACAGGACTGAAACTCAGTACCCACTGAGCACTAACTCTCCACCCACCTCCCGTGGCCCCTGGCAACCTCCATTCTGTTTTCTGTCTCTATGCATTTGATCCCCTAGGTACTGAACATAAGTGAGATCATATAGTGTTTGTCCTTTTGTGATTAGTTAACAATTTATTTTTAAATGAACATTTTTTTCAAAATATATTTATGTGAGACGTAACTCTTACAGAAAAAAATATAAAGTACAGAAAAACAAAGATAATCACACATGACCCGTCACAAAACTATAGTTAATAATCCTATTAGGGTACATGTGAATTTGTCTAAAGGTTGAATATAAATATTTTAATGCAACAATTATAAGAAAGACATGATGGCTATGTTAGCCAGTTGGATGAGAGTTTTCCAAACTGCATATGGAAGCAACACACTGTATCCTACGATAGAATTAATGTACATAATTATGATCTAATAAAAAATAAATTTAAAAAAAAACAAAAACCCCCACAAAACTATAGTTAATATGTCTTAGAGTATTGATTCCTAATATACTTTTTTGCTACTAGAGTTTAAGGATGTCATTGATTGTTATTCCATTCAATAAGACATCTTGAAAAGTTGCAGAGAATTTCTTAATAGGGATTGCCACAGATTTTTTAATCAACCCATTTGGATTTTTAATTTTCCAGTTTTTATTATAAATAGCAGTATAGTAAATATTCCTCTGGTTAAATTTTTATATTCATTTTTGACTGTTTTCTTAGGATAAATTCCTATTAACAGAATTTCTGGATTAAGTAGACATACATTTTATTTATTTATTTATTTTTAAAATTTTATTTATTTATTTATTTTGCAGGTTCTTTTGGCCAGGGCTGGGTTTGAACCTGCCACCTCCGGCATATGGGGCCGGTGCCACCCCCATTTTATTTATTGAGACACAATCTCACTTTGTTGCATCATACCTCACAGCAACCTCAAACTCTTGGGCTCAAGTAATCCTCTTGCCTTGGCCTCCCAAGTAGCTGGGACTACAGGCACCTGCCACAATGCCCAGGTATTTTTAGAGATGGGGTCTTGTGTGCTTGCTCAGTCTGGTCTCCAGCTCCTGAGCTCAAACTGTCTACCCACCTCAGTCTCCCGGAGTGGCAGGATTATAGGCATGAGCCACCATTTAAAGGTTTTGTGTATGTATTGCTAAAAACACCCCATGTCATCTACTTCTTATGATCCATAAATCCTAGGGTTTTTAGGGGTACTTTTGTAAATAAAATGCACATCTTTTTCTTTTCCTCTTTTAAATTTCAGATTAGTTTGAGGGTTCAAACAAGTAGGTTGTAATGTTTGCGTTTGTTAGGTAGAGTCCCTCTTGTAATTGTTTCCGGCCCCCAAGAGGTGTGCCATACATCCTAACATAGTGCCCGTTAAGTGGGAGCACGTCCATTCCTCTCTCTCTTTCCTCCACCCCCCACCTTGAGTTGATTTGAGTTTTTCTCTTATATGGGTGTGTATTAAATGTTGACTTTATTAGTATTGAATACACTGGCTACTTGCTTTCCCATTCTTATGGTACTTTACTAAGAAGAATATGTTTCAACTCCATCCAGATTAGTACAAAAGATGTAAAGTCTGCATCTTTTTGAATGTCTGAATAGTATTCCATGGTATACATATACCACAACTTATTAAATCCATTCCTGGGTTGGTGGGCATTTAGTCTGTTTTTGCATTTTGGCGATTTATAAATTGAGCTGTGACAATCTAGTGCAAAATGTCCTTATGATAAAATGATTTTTTTTCTTCTGTGTAGATGCCCAGTAATGGGATTGCAGGGTCAAATGGGAGGTCTTATTTGAGTTCTTTGAGGATTCTCCATACTTCTTTCCAAAGCAGTTGTACTAGTTTGCAGTCCCACCAACAGTGTAAAAGTGTTACCTTCTCTCCCTATCCATGCCAGCATCTGCAGCTTTAAGATTTTGTGAGGTGGGCCATTCTCACTGGGGTCAGGTGACATCTCAGGGCAGTCTTGATTTGCATTTCTCTGATGATTAGGGATGATGAGCACCTTTCAAATGTTTGTTAGC